CTTTTCAGTGATGTTCGGTTCCGAAGAGCTTATAAACCAAAAGCTGGGCAAAGTGTTCACTTCTATACAAGCGGTTTTGTCATCGATATTCTAGTTGTATGACTTAGCTATGAGGGCTTAGGTTATGTTTTATTTTGTTTTTCGTCCGCGTGCTGTAGGTTTTTTTTTTATTGTCATAGATAAAAAAAAAACACACACAACAATATTTCAGAAAATCTTAAAAAAATACAAACTCCAAGGAAAATTCAAAACGGCAAGTCGTTTATCATTAAATAAAGATACAAATATTGAAAAAAGAATTATTTTTCTGTAAAAAAAAATGATGTCCAAACGTTTGGTATGTTGAGTTTAAAGTTTTGCTTGTGCGTGTGATTTTTTTCTGGCTGTTTGGTAGGTTTTGAAAATTTGACTTCATGCAAAACAAATGATAAAAACCAGACATGGTACAGCTGTGGAACCGTAACTCTTATGGTCCTTATGATATTTTTTTGACAATTTGTGCGGACCATAAGAGTAACAGTTCCGCCGCTAAATTCATTGATACCCGCTGAGAATTTGCCTGCTTTAAAATCCTAATTGTTCTTAATCAAAAGGCGTTTAATAAGTATATATAATGCTAAGTTTCATCAAATTGAAAAAAAGGTAATTTTATACAAGCATGTTGCATTTCATTACATTTTCATGAATTCCATTAAAAAAATTCTCACCGTGAAGAAAAAGTATGTTAATGTGTTACACGAAAATGTAAACCAATATCCTTTTTGACATCTGCTGACATTGTATTTCTATGCAGATCTGCATTATTTCCGGAGGAGAAAATGAAAACTTTATGGACAACATTTATGTTTCAAGTCATTAAGATAAGCAATCAAAGCAAGGAATGCTTAAAAGTGTGTTATCCAAGGTCAATGTCCAGGCATGATCAAAATTAACTTAGGTCATTAAAAGTAATGATACAACTATTACATCTATTTTAATGTCAATAACCCTTTGTACGAAGAACGACACAATAACAAAAATATATTCACTCTTCATTATTTCCTATCATATTAATACAAAAGTAGCAGACTATAAAAAAGTGATAATGATGAACCATAATTCCATGTAACCATTAGTCATCTCACGATCCACCCAGTATTCATTGCATCAACCAACCGATGTATTGTTTAAAAGCTGTAATCAATACGCATGTAACATTTACGACAAGAAATAAAGCAATGAATTTTATTTAATTATCAAATAGTTAATCAAGAACAATACTTAGAGTCGTTGCTGATAAATATTTTTTCGGGCTTTTCAACTTGTTATTGTTACTTGTTCTGATTTCAGATGTATGTGCTCCAAAGTATTTTTTAAAGCTGTACAATTACTGATTATAGATGTTTTTTTGGTTATTTGTATCGTTTAGTTGCTGTCTTATTGACATATACCCCACACTTTCTTTTATTCATTTCTCCTGGTATAAATATCGTTAGAACAAAAACATTGATAAACAGTAGCTGATATTAGAAAATAAACTAATGACGTGGAATTTTTAAAGGCAGTGGCTATTCGTCCGGCTAGCCGGACAAATAGACAAAAATGTCTATTCATCCGGCTGGCCGGACAAATAGTCAAAAATGTCTATTCATCCGGCAAGCCGGACAAATAGCATTTTTACGGTATTTTGCTATTTGTCCGGCCAAAAATATAATGATGAAGATATAACATCGTGATTTAAGGAGATAAATGAACGCGGAGTAGTTATGAGAAATATTGTCTAAAATCGTATAACAACATATATGCAGCAAGTACACTTTTGAATTAGTTACTTATAGTCTTCAAATTGGCAAAAACATTGTGCAAATTATTTCCATTCATTCATTTAAACAAATCATAATGCAAATGAATATACTACAAAGTATACATTTTATTCAGATTTTTTTTTAATCTAAAGGAGTTTTTATTTGTTCTACCTATGAATTTCATGTAAGGTGAAGAGTCTCACCACTAATTATTGGCTTCAATAGACATCTATGATTCCAAAAAAGATTCTGAATTTATTGTTTCCTTGAAGTTTGGTTCAAATCAGGTCGTCAAATGATTTTCAGACACGATTTTTTTATTTAAAATGTTCGGAGATTTTTAACTCATAGGAAATAAGAGAGAACGATAGGCACGTGTAACCTTCCCCAAAAGTAAGATAGTGTTTACGATAGAAAAATATAGAAAAAAATGTTTATTAAGTTAAACAGAACAAAAAAGGGGGGGTTACCCCAAACTTGATACTAGTATCCTATTCCGAGTCAAGGTATATCAGTGCATGCTCCTAGATCTCCGTTGTAGTAGAACCTAGAAATAATGCATCCAAGCATATTTGATTTAGTCATTATCCGAATGCGTTTTGCCTCCATGGGGTAAATCAGCAATTTTAGTTTGATGTTAGGCTTTATTCCCCTCAGTTTACATGTATACTATATACGCTTTTGTTCTGGAGTCACTTATATATAAAAATTTGTTTTAAAGCAATCACATTCTCTCTAGTTTTCTTTATGACATCTTTAAATATAAATCACGATCTCCGGCCAATTCTCAAAACGTCCCATACGCGCGTTTGTTATCCGACACCTCATCCGGGACACTTTCAGCGCCACATGACACTTTTATTGATATTAAAGATTTGCGCATGGCCACAGACCACAATTAAATTCTCTATTAGTTCTTTATAACGTTTTTTTTCATTAAAAAAAATGCACCGATTCTTTTTGTCAAATATTTGTGTGTGTAAAGTACAGTACTAGTCCAAACATATATCAAACATTCAGAAATATCGCTCCCCATCATCTTACAAATTTAGCCAATACACATCCATACCCCTATGGACAAGTCAAGAGATGTTCCGAAAACTGTAAATATCACCTTTTTGCACCTGGCCTAATCACTCTTTCCATATCAGTTAAAATACAACATCCAAAAGTTTATTTCACCTCTCTTCTTTCATTTCCATCCAAAAAAATCTAAGAAATGAGTGAGGAAGGGAAAGAAAAAAAATTAAGTAAAAATACACTCTAATTAAAAGGAACTATATTCGTACAACGAAAAGCGGGATCATTAATTGTGGTCTTTGGCCGCATCCACAAACGGAAGGCCGGACAAATAGAGATTTTGAACTATTCGTCCGGCTAGCCGGACGAATAGACACTCCGATTTTTAAATGTACCTTATTGCATTAGTATGAATAAGTAAATGTAGTTCATAAATATTCATCAAGAAGACAGAAGAAAGTATCAATTATTATGTCTTAAGCTTCCCATCTTTTAGGTATCTGGTGTACAAGATGATTACAAGTACATGTGACTTTTCAATTAGGTATCTGATGTTTTAAATTTAGCATCTGGTACATTAAATTAAGAAGATGTGAATATTGAATGAATTATCAACCGTTTTAACTTCGAGTTTTTCTTTTATTTGACATTTCTGAAGAAAATCCAGCACTAAGCATGAACTGTATTGGTATACTTCCAACTATATTTCATACAGCAATTAATGTGAAAGAAAATATTAATGCATTGTTTCACTATGTCTATAACTTAAAGGGATAGTAGCTACGATTTTGACAAAATTATGACCACGTTTTAAAGCTGCTAAAATCAAAGATATGTACTTTAAATTAACAATAAGATCGCTGGAATGTTTACATAAACTACAGAAGTGTTAATAATTCATAATTAATATCGTGTTGCGTGCCTATTCATCTCATTAATTATGCATCGGGTTTACTTCCCGAAATTTGCCGACACAGCGAGTGAAATGACCCAGATATAAATAGATATGAACATGTGCTTTTTGTTTTCTTACGTATTTGATAATTTCTTTAAATTAAACGTACATATTTGACACCATTTATCAAATTATGTAAACAACAAAATATAACAAAAGCCTGCATCTTATTCGAACCAAAGGTTCTCAAACAATGGCGATATTATATACACTTGTTTTTACATTTGTATGACAAAACAATGCCGATAATGTATACACGTGTTTGTGAATGAGGGCCATCATGAAGGATACACCGGAAGAATAATATTAAATTGTAAGAAGTTGATTTTTAATTTCTGCTATGTTGAGAGATTACTGCTCGTTAATTTGTAAACATATTTTTGGACAATAATGATTTGAACACGTCGCAATTTGTTTTCATGTGATCTGGAATAGTTTAGAAATGTAAACATTTCGTAAACCGTAGTATTGTCGGCTACTTCTGTGTGACTTTGCCTGCGTGACAGGTTTTTTAAGTGATTCTAATGACCAATTTCATCGCCGTTATTTATTTTCAATTTACAATAATTTGTCTGCACCTCTTTTCTGATCCTTTTTCTCGCAGAAACTGTAAATTCATGTTCCATTCCCGCGATAACATTCCTCTGTTCGACATTTTCCCTTCGAGGGACAACGTGCGATTGCGCATTGAGAACTGCCGAGTTAAGGTCAACATAGGTCATATGAATAAGGGTTGCCTGTAGACAAAAATTAAATTCAGGCGTAAAAAGTTAAAAAGCTTCTATATGCTAAATGGAAAGTAATCAGTGATGGTTTTATTTATACTTAATTAACTTTTTGTACAAAATCAGGCATATAGATTAAAAAAATATTTTTAATGAAAATCGTAGCTACTATCCGTTTAAGCAAGGACAAGCGTTAACATTGGATATTGAGGAATTTGTATTAAACAACTTTGTTGTATAATTGTATTGTGTTTCAATGTGTCAAGCGAGTGCAGTGCAATACTTTAATTAGATGTTTATAATGTTTATAATGTTGCATTCTTTTCTATTTTCTATAAGTTATCACAATAAAATGTATTATTCGATATGTGTCGACCAGAACACAAGGGGTATCGTAACTTTTTATATGATAAATGAATGGGATACGTTTTGTTTTAAACATAAATGTCTTTGCTTCTTTGTTATTGAAGCCTTTTCAACTACAACCACCCTAACGACATACAACAGAAATCTAGACAAAGTTTAAACAGTTTTATTGTAAATAGTAATACATCTAAAAGCTGAAAAAATACTTTAAAGACATTTAAAACTAGTTTAAAGCATTACACTTAAAGGTTGCATTAACTAAAAATTAAGCGGATTTCCACAGGCCTGCGGATCAAAAATAATCTGAAGATAATATTCATTAATAGGTCGGTATAATTTACGGGAAAATACTCCATTTTCTGTTTGTTAAAGAAAAACTGAAAAATAACTTGCTATGTAAAATTTGATTGAAAGAGGGCTAAAAAAATCAGGATTATTCGTTTTTTTTTTAAAGCTAGCACAATAACATCGGTTTATTATTTGTTTACAGAAATTTTTAGACTAAGTGTTTTTATTTGGTACTTTTGTGAATTACACATACTATATGCCAAGGTTAACAAATAACAATGGTAAAAAGTAGTAAAAAAATTATGCAACTTAATTTTAAGAATTCGTTTAATTTGTTATATATTTCTTAGAAACAAAGTTTTTTTTAATAATTTTTTTTTAAATTTTCAAATAAACATTTGAATTGTATAGAAATCGGAAAAAAATTATGTAATTGAATACACGCAGATTCCATACATTTCTATTGCAATACATTAAATTATTTGGACTTTTTCTAAAACTTATTCACAAAAAGTTCATATAAACATATATCACAATTGATAATTCCAACAGTAGTTTATATGGACATAAGTCTAGTAGATTGGTAAAGAACCTCCTGATTGACCTGGATAATAACTTGCACTGCCTCCTCCCACTGATGACTGTCCAGGATAGTAACTGCCACCACCTACTCCTCCGAGTGACGACTGTCCAGGATAGTAACTGCCACCACCAACTCCTCCGAGTGACGACTGTCCAGCATAATAAGAACTACCCCCTCCAATGCCGCCAACTGACTGGCCTGGGTAAGAGGATCCACCTCCAATACCTTGTCCGTATTGTCCTTGGCCTTGGTAAGAATTTTGCATACCACTGTATCCACTTTCGTATGACCCAATGTTCTGGCTATACACGCCTCCTCCGACGCCTTGTTGGTATCCACCTTGATATCCTCCTAAACCTGATTGGTATCCACCTTGATATCCTCCTAAACCTGTTTGGTATCCACCATGTCCTCCCTGTAGCCCGCTATATCCACCGTGAAGTCCGCCAAATCCTCCTTGAAGTCCCCCATATCCTCCCTGGAATCCGCCATAGCTTCCTTTATTTCCACCATACCCTCCCATACCCCATTCGTTATAACCATATTTACCGTATCCATCAACTGAAATACCTTTTCCCTCATGACCTGAAATATAAATCCTAGGTTTGAAATCATAATTTGGTAACCTTTTTTTTTTGTAATTGAACGGATATACAAGGATCTTTATTTGTGCAAAGATTTAGATATAATTCACGATGGTCAAAATATCAATAAATAAACTTATCGTAGATACCAGGATTAAAATGTGTGTACGCCAGACAAAAAGACTCATCGTGACTCTCGAATAAAAAAAAGTTAAAAAAGACTAAATAAAGTACGAAGTTGAAGAGCATTGAGTGTCTGGATTGTAACAATGATATAATAGAAAAGCAATGTAGACGTAAAAACATCTAAGTCATTACACGAGTTTGGAGATACACTAAATTTGTTTTACAAATCTTTAAATAAGTCCCGATCATATTATTTTCATGTTTGATTCCTTCGTGTGTATTCAATAATAATGATATCTATATAATGTATCCTATTATTTTGCATACCATATCCTTTTCCGTATCCTCCTATACCATATCCCTTGTGTTCTCCATAACCACCAGCTGACACCATGGCAACAGTGGCGAGTGCGAGAATAATTAGTTTGGTATTCATGGTTATACAGACTGAAATGAAAAGTAAAAAGTATGAAGATAAAGTCATTAATATCTTCCAATCAGATTCAGGAAAGCATTCAGTCCGAAGACTGTGCATCATTCAACCTCTAATACCGTCCCAGAGGAGACGGTTATAAAAGGATATTTGGGGTATAAATCAATGATACAACAAACCAACGAAAAAAAAAAAAAAACACACAAAAAGCATCTACACGGTACCTTACAGTCTTCGTCAATAAAAAAAAATACAATTATGTTTTAAATAAGATCTGCAGTGTTTTCAGTATTAAGAAAACTATATTTTTGTGTTTTTGTTTACTCGGTTTTGTTGATCTTACTTTTCTTTTAAGCAAAATCATTAGACGAAATGGTGTATTCGTCAAATAAATAATTGAATTGACAAATAAATCAACAGTCTATCAAATACTTTAAGCCTGAGTTGGTTTTGTTTACAGAACGAAACTTAAGTGAAAAGAAATAAATAATCATTGCTAACATTTACACAAAAATATGAATTTATACGTATGCAGTTAAGACAATATTAGATATCCCTGGCATACACCGTTATGATGGTATTATTAACGGAACTAGATATTTTACTTCGAAATCTTGTATCGTCGGAAAATGTTTTATATAAAATAAATAATTTACAATGTATAAGATGATTAAAAAACAACTTTATAATTAATCATTCTTAAGGGGCACCAATATCTTATTTTTTTTTTACTTACGATTACTGGAACAGAACGTAGAATGATGGAATACACGTTGAAACCCGTAGTATTTATACCTGTCAAATTAACCAACATTACAGGGTTTGGGGATACAAGGAAGACATGTGTTATTGTTACATGTATATATAGAATAAGTGGTACACCTGTAGTGTCTGGATCAAATTTATTTGTCTGTTTTTATTCGTTTGGTTTTTATTACTAGACATCGGTTAATATATGGTATGCTGATTATTTTTTTACAAAAAGGAGAAGAAACATGACACGCCATTTTGATGGTTTATATTGGACATAATATTCAACATCATTGTAAAAGTATTATCATAAAAAATATTAATATTAAGAAATGTTGAGAGTATTTCGGAAGAATATTTCAGAAGGATCACCCGTCTTAAAAAAAAGAATTTGATTTGGATTTTGGAAGATAAAATGTAAAAGTATGACACCATCCCTTTGTTTCACCAATTAGTATTGCTATTATTAATCACAAACTCTTTATCAATCGAAGTTCTAACCAGCTCAGATTTTCAGAAAGATGGGTGATCATAAATGAAAAAAAAAAACACTTTATAAATTTCGTGCGTCCGAAGTGCGTTTCTGGATAGCATATTAAAAGGAAAAACCTTTGATTTGGTACATGTTTCAATTTTTTTGGTGTTATGTCATAACTTTCAAGTTATCTACATTTGAATTTTAGGTTAAATCCGTTGAACTGTGTTAAAAAAGTATCACGCCCTGACTGAGTTATAAAACCACTTCAATACATCTTCTAAGATATCTGTAGGTGGCCCGCTGTAAAAATATATCTCTTTCTCTCTAAGTAACTGGTCCTTTTTCCTAGCACCTTTTTTTCTATTCCTACTTCCATTAATTTGATTAATGTTGTTTTTCGATATTCTGAATATGCATGAAATATTTGAACGATCAGTAAACAATACATCAAAGAAACTTTCAGACATACCAGTTATTTAGTTCTTTCCACACGTGATGCGAGTTAGAATATAGACCAAAGCCTAACTATGACATCTTGCATTTATTTATTTGTTTACATGCAAAATGTTCTTTTAACAGAACCGAGTTCGATAGAGGATATGCTTAATATGTATTCAAACAATTGTGAATATCAAGCATTATTGGGACTCTAGTAAGTTACCTTACTCAGTTAGGTCACAATATCATGTTTGAAATTGCCTAAGATCACCTCACTTTAATGCAAAATATACAATACTTTCTAAACTGATCTGATTCTCGGTTTTGAACATTTTTAAAGGTCACATGTCCCTTAAACGAGACGCCAAGTCCGATGGTCGGTCGCCAAACCTCCAAGGTCGCAGGTCGTAGTTGACCATGTCGGAGCCACAGTATTGTTTTTGAGAAAATAAAAAGAATAGAAAAGAACCTAACATTTAAATAAGTATGTTCAGGAAATCTAAGCACTTTTACAGTTAATTATTACATTCCTTATTTTTCTAAATTTTATTGGAATGAAACTTGAATTGCATAAGGTATTGCCAGGTATTGGCCCAGAACAACATGGGGATAATAATAAAGATATAAATCTCCCTATTAATAGGGGTGAAATGATATTGTGTATTAAAAAATGCTATATGATAAAGTATGTGGTGAAGATAGCCTTTTTAATGAGTAGTATGCTAGATACACTTACTGGAAATGTGAAGATATGATTGAAGCTTTAAATTTTCTCCTGGACAACATATATGTACGTTTCGGCGTAAAAGTGTATCGACAAGTAGTAGGTATTCCTATGGGCACTAACAGCGCCCCTTTAATAACAGATTTATTCCTGTATTGCTATGAATCTCAGTTTATGACCAAACTCAGTAAAGACACGTCATTGTTACATTTGGTTGATACATTCAACAATACCTACCGTTATCTTGATTATATTTTTTCGTTAAATAACCCAGAGTTCTCTAAATATACTACCGAAATTTACCCAAAGGAACTTACTTTAACTAAATCTAACATAAACAGCAGTAGTTGTCCGTTTCTAGATTTAGACATTTCAATTTCTAAAGTGAAACTCCATGCTAAAATTTACGACAAAAGAGACGACTTTTCATTCCCTATTGTTAATCTTCCTTTTTCAGACGGCTATGTTCCGTTGGCTCCATCATACGGTGTTTATATATCCCAGCTCGTTCGTTATGCCAGTGTGTGTAGTGATGTCATAGATTTTAACGAACGTAATCAATGCATCACTGGTAAATTATTAAGTCAGGGATTTCGTTACCATAAATTACTTGACATTTTTACTAAATTCTTTCAAAGATACAAAGATTTGATTAGTAAATTTGGCTGTACCTGTAGAAAACTTATTGAAAACGGTATTTCACATCCTAAATTTTACGGTAATATTGTACTAAAAGCGGCGGAAATCACTATGTGATCCGTGTAAACCCATCGAACCTTTAAACAAACTTATTAGTAAAGGTTATCTTACCAATGTTGTAATTAGATCTTTGAATATAGTTTTCATTGACACAAATATCGATTTTGTCATCAGCAAATTAAAACATAACTAAATTTGTATTCTTTTCTAACGGGATGTATAAAGACACATCAACGTTCATTTTTTTTCTATAAAGAAGTTAACTCCTAACTATCGTACTGTCTGTCGATACATTTATTTTTGGCATTGCACAAGTCATGTCTTCTTTGACTGTCCATGACGTTAAAATACTAAATCCCTGGGATGTGTTTTAGTTTATTTTAGTCTCTTATGCATGATTTTTTATTATTAATTGTTTTTGGCTTTTAACTAGTGTCAGTAACTGCGAGTACTCTCAAATCGTACTTTCTTGTTAATTTGACCTGTTGATACTATTTGTAATGCTTTTTTGTTATTTAATGTTTACTTATTCAGGGTTATATCTCGTCTATATACCAGCTTTGATAAGTGTTTGGATGACTATAAATTTTCCCTTCTTCGTACTACGAACAACTAAATTATTTATTTTGTAAAAAATATTTACGTTCTCCATTTAAACTGTATACCTTACAACAAAATTATTTTCATTTACCTGTATATATTATTGTATTTGGCGGCTTTTTGTTCAAGGCTGTTGTTGATTTTTTTTTGAAATTGTTTAACATCTCACAGCGGTATACTACTGTTGCCTTTATTTATTCACCCCTTATCTTATTGATTTTATATTTACATTTTATCATAGATCAAATTTATTCGTTCAGAGTTTGTTCACTTGTGTTAATATGTCTTTTGATTGAGTTAACCCATTTCAATTGATATTTTATAGTGTGTCTTTCTATGTTGTGATGTTACACTATTGTTTCAGATAAGGGTGAAGGTTGGTACCTATTAAAACGTTTAAACCCGCTGCAATTGTTTGCACCTGTCCTAAGTCAGGAATCTGATGTTCAGTAGTTGTCGTTTGTTGATGTGGTTCATAAGTGTTTCTCGTTTCTCGTTTTTATATAGATGAGACCGTTGGTTTTCCCGTTTGAATGGTTTTACACTAGTCATTTTTGGGGCCCTTTATAGCTTGCTGTTCGGTGTGAGCCAAGGCTCCGTGTTGAAGACCGTACTTTGACCTATAATGGTTTACTTTTACAAATTTTGACTTGGATGGAGAGTTGTCTCATTGGCACTCATACCACATCTTCTTATATCTACTTACTGTTGAAGTATTTTTACCGTTTTATGAAAAAGTGTTTCACAAGATATTTGACACAGGTATAATACCTAGAAAAATTGATTGATATTATAAAACCAGTACACAAAAACAAGGGAGGTAGATATAATCCCATGCTGTAGGATACATGACAACATACGATTTATTTACATTGTCAGCTTTTTTGGATATTTTGAAAAAACGTTAATTACAATAAAAACGCTGTTCCTTTGCTCTGTGTGTGTATTTTCCTGTGCATGTATTAATTTTGTGTCATGGATGGATACCCCATATCCTTTGTTTTTCTATTTTATAGATTTTGAAAGTGCTTTTGATATCGTTTGGCGTAATGGGCTCTTGTTTAAGTTGCTTACTCAACATATAAATGGGAAAATGTATAATGTTATTAATTATCCTTGGATATGAAAATATTAAATCAAATATAAGTTTCAGACTATTTTGTTTACAAGACCAATTCAAACAGCACTGGAGTACACAATTACAAGAGTCTCCAAAAGCAGTTAGTTACAGAATTTTAGAATTAGAATTACATTTTGAAAAATATTTTGAGATCTTGAATCTGCATGTAATAATTATTTTATGTATAGAATCACTAAGCACAGACTCCCAATAGAACTAGGGAGGTGGAATAACGTTGGTTATTAAAATGGTCGAAAATGTCATCATTGCTATCTTGGTAACATTAGAGACGAATTTCATTATCTGCTGGAATGTATTTTTTTTAACGGCAGTATGAAACTTTACCATTTGGCTCTTGTAAATATATCAAAGTTTAAAAAACTGATGAACCAGTTAAACAAAAAGTAAGAGCTGAAAAGATTATGTAAGTTCATAAAGTGTGTAAATAAACACGTGGGTCCTCCTGGCTAAAATGTTTATTATTTTGAAACCACTGTATTGTATATAAATGTTTGTATAATGTATGCATATTTCTGTACATATTTTACACATTCTCTGTTCCTTTGTATCTGCAATGGCTATGATAATAAAGATATGATTATTGCTTGGTCACTGCTCTGGTTCTTTGTACTTTTATATTTCGTTCATTTTTTTACGAATTTGAATATCTACATTTCGCTAATGAGACCCTCAGACGAGAACACTTTCTTAATTTCTTAATTTTACTACATGTAGTTTTAAAGTCATGAGATGATTGTTATATTTATACATTTTTAGTATGTTTTGTAAATATGTGTCCGTCTTGTAAGCCACATCAATGACTGGCCGGTACTGATTTATTTAAAGTATATTTTTATTATGTTATTCAAGGCACTTATTGTATAATGTGTGACACAATAATTTAATGAATAATAAAATATAAACACATGATTTTTTTCATGGCTAATATTTGGGTAAGTAATAGTTTGTTTTATATTTCAAATCTAAATTTAG